ACTATAAACAATCAACACTCAGCTCTGCCCCCCAATGATTTTTTCATGAACTGTTCCTAAATTATTGATTGTCAGATACATAAGGTTTTGTTTTATCTTACATATGCCATATCTGTTACGTGAGATTCAGCGCTAAAATAAATTCTAACTGTATCTTACTAGAACTTGGGATTGATTAATGTTGAATCATGAAGACATGAAAACTATGAGTTGAGATGTTTTGGAAATTTTCAACTGCAATTGGCTACGTTCAATATTCATAATCGTCATTTCGAAGGTACTGTCAAACATCAGTCTCATAATTTGGTATGTGTCGAACTAAGTTCGAAATAACTCTTTGAAAAAAATGCAGAAAATAAAATGCTTCAAGTTAAACTGATTGTTACCATTACTGAGAGATTGGGTGAACGCCATTTAATTTTTTTCTAAGCGTTCCAAATGCAAGAAAGCCTTAGTAATTTGACATTATCAAGTCATACTGGTCATTGTTCGCTTATGAGCAATATTTTATAATCAAATTGTTAATCTATTTGCTTCTATTATCGGTCAAATATCACGCGAATGAGCAAGTGATGCAAAATGAATCTTAGAGCCATTCAGAATTTCTACTCACAACTTTTTTTTTCAGTATAACATGTTCGAAAAAACTTTTCTTATTTTTCTACTAACAGTGCCAGTGGTGATTGTCGAATCGAAGCAGTATGAAATCAAAGAATTCGAAAACCCTGCTGTAAGTTTCCCAATTATTTCCAATATCATTATGTAAAAGCTGCCATAACGTCTTTTTTTTTCCAGAAAGCATTGCCATACAAAGAAGTTCGTAAATCTCATGAAAGCGAAATTCTAAAGGGAATAGTACATTATGTTGCTGTTGCTCTTTTCTTGCGGTTACTTCACCCAAAAGGCGACTGAATCCATCATTAGTCAAGAATTCAAACTTGCGCGCCTTATTTATTCTGTAACCACAACGTCTTTAACAAACTGAGATGCTTTCAAATTCTTCCTAACTCGAATGTAAAATAACGTACTGCATTTCTTCGAGTTTCGGTCTTCTTCTAGTACTTGCACAAGTTCTCGAGAAATTCATTGTAGAAATCCTTAGCTATCATCCTTATTGGTAAGTCGATAGCACAGAAAATTACAAATGTTTCGTTTGTTCATTACTAAAGTTATCTTTTAGAAATGTCCATTACATAGATATATCTCCAGAAACAGCTGCTCTTGTCAAGATTGGTTCATGTATCAGCTTTCACAGTCTATTTGTAGTCCTTGAAAGTGAAGATGCACTACTGATTTTGTCTCCATGCTACAGCAGTTGTGTCGGTTGGATTTTGGTAAAAAACAAAAGAGACAAGTTATCAGATCTTAACAGCTCATTAGACTTGAGCAATTCTGCATTAGTAACTGTTACGTTATCGTGAACAGAAATAAAATGCGTCCGTGTGGTCTGTATTGGTTCTGCTTTACTGGTAATGAATTGAACGGACTCCCAGTCATCATTTCGGTTTCATTTGCATGATTTATTGGTTATTTCAAATGTAGTTATTTCTATTTAAATTTCTTTATAATTTCCTTTACTTTAACTTTCTCGTTCATACTTTTGATTCATTTATTCATCTTTGGTATTACCTGGAAAAATTGATTTTGTTACTAATAAGCTGCTAAGTTTGCTATATTCTCTTCCCTTTTTAGTTTTTATTAGAATAAAATGAGAGGTTTGAAATGAAGCTACATTAAAGCTTTAATCCTTTTTATCTCTTTTAATGCTTTTCAAAAATATATATATTTGCACTTTTTTTTTTCAGAGATTACCAGTGGAACCAGAGTTACGATAATAAATTTGTTCTTTTTAACAACACTGCTTGAAATGAAGTGATCCAAGAAAAAATGAAAAGCTTCATACTTTAAATCACAATTCTTCTTCCCAGTTTCTTATTTTGTTAGCCATTTCTGTTCTGCTTGTGCCACAGATATTCATCACTGTAAGTCGCAATGGTAGTTTGGTCATTTTCTTCTAAGAGTCCTTGTGCAAGGTTGCTGCTTCCACTGATTTTCCGTTCTGCACGTTGATTTGAGGAAGCGATTGGAGTGACACAGGTTAAATGAAACTATCGGCCCATTAATTTCAGAAAATCAATCAAGAAGAGATGGAATTTAGCAATGTTTCACGATCTATCGAATAGGAGCTTGCCTATAATTCCGAAATTTATATTACTTTCACATTATCTGAGCTATAATCATTAACAGTTATTACTACAAAAATCAGAAGAAATCATGGTTTCAAAGTTGGGGTTCAAGATAGTTAATCATTGAGTTGAAAACTTGCGCATGACGTGTAGGTTTTAGGATTGTGGTAATCAAGCAAATGAGTGGAAACCGTGCATTGAAAGAAAAATAGCTGATCAAGTTTTTGGAGCATGTTGTGATCGTTTTGCGCCACCAGAATGCCGAGGCTTATGTATCTACGAAAGTAATCCTATCGAAGCACGAGTTGTTGTAATTTTTTCTCCTTATTTCTAACTGCTCATCCTTTCCTTGTAAAATATGGGTTATCATAGTCGTTTGATTTACATATTTATTCATTAGAGTTTCATTATAAAAGGAAATTTGCAGTTAATGCATGCAATTCAACCATCTCGATGTCGTTTATATAAATATCTGAGTTCGATAATACATTGTGCCGCTCAAACGCACGACAATACGGCTTGCTGTAGAGACATGGGTGTTCATGAAATCGGTTCGCAGTGCTTGCAGTTGTGTAAACCACAAGTAATCTCTACAAACTTTAAATCTATTCCTTCATTCTCTTTTACTTATAAACAGCAAAAACTTTCATAATACGTATTACAATTTAACGAACTCTCTCAGATAATTGCATAAGGAAAAATGTTATTAATGTTTTCCGTTTAATTGAATGCGTTCACGCAGATGATGTTAGCTCAATCAATCATTTTTGACCTCTGATTCTAACTGTCGTGAAAGACGAAATATTTAAATTATTATATCCAAAACTAACAAATTCCTCTTATCTAATTCCTTTTCCTCACACAACAAAAACCCTTTGTTAGCAAAACCCTTTATTAGCAGTCTTTGTTTCACATCAGTTAAATATCCTCTGCCGGATATCTGGTCAGTTCAGTTTTGCATATAAACAATCGTCCTCCATACGGTTGTTCATTCTGCATTTTGGGGTGGTTTTGATATCATTTTAATGTTTTATAATTATATCTTTCGTTACGCATTGTTATAATATTGATTTGTCGGTTTAATTACCCATGTTTGAGGTTTCACGACACTAAGCGTCTATCTATATGAACATCTGATATTAGAAAAATACTTTTTCATATATTAGAAAAATTCGGTTATTTATTTCCAGGCAGTACCTCTTCAGTTGTGGGGTACTAGATCACTACGCAAAGATCTCGTCGTATGTTTGGCAAAGTGGGACCAAATAATGTTCTGTCATCAAGCTGGTCTACGTGCTCGGAAAATCATGAAAACACCAACGGTAGTTACGTCACAGTAACTCACTATAGTCCTGCTCTTTGTTCTTTCTCGCGTGTATTTTATAAACATATATTAGCGTTGTTCTTTTTTTGATTTTTGGAACAATGTTAGTGCATCTTACACAATTCTATTGACTCTAAATGATTAGAAGAATGAGAAAGTTCCTCTGACTCTGCAAGTAGGTAAGAATTTAACTTTTTAATAACTGAACTAAAATTTGTTTCGGTTTTCATACTTATCACACAGAATAGTTGAAGACTGCTGCAAAAAAAAAAAAAAACGTATAAAATATGTTTCGAATGCATTTGCTGAAAGAAATGTATATGCAAACATGGTTAATATGGCTCCATTTGTACAGATGTAATGGAGTATAACTTTTGGTTAACTTCACGCTATTTGAGACCACAATATTGTTCTTTGTGTGGCATTAATATTATTAAAACACTGGAATTCTCTCAATTTTTACTATTAAAACTGGAACTATTCTGTTCTTTTTCTTTTCTATTAAAACACTGGTATTCTCTCAATTTTTTAAGACAAACAGTGTTTCTTATGACAACCTATTTTTATTCCCAAGCAACTTGTTAAATACACATCACGTCAAGCAAAAGATGGTGCAAATTTCTTGCTTAGTGTGTGTCACCAATTTCATCACTATCTTTTCCTCCAGTTGTCATGAATGACTTTTTGTTCAACAAAACGTATTTTTTTCTGCATATTCATTTGTTTTTCTTTATCCACGTAGGGTTTGTTGATTTATATCTAATATTCTTCCTTACCCTCCAAAAACAAAAATAAAAAAACAAGAAAAAAAAAATCGACTAATACCTGCAAGAATTTTAATAGTTATGGTTTAATTTTGACAACTAATGTTTAAGACATTAATTAACTCAGCTGGTGTTTCAAAAGCAGTGGTGCTTAACAAAATCAAGCTTGCAAAGACACTATTGAAAACGTTGTCTTTGAACCCGCTAGTTCTGGAATTCTAGAGGAGTTCTTTGAAGTTCAGCAATGCCTATATAAACTACACTGAAAATGTTGTGCTGTTTCATTTGCTGCTGTTAGTTTGCAAATTTTGAAAAATTTCAGAGAGAACTTTTTATTTATAAAGGATTTAGGAGCGAAAAAAATTATCACATGAGAAGGAAGAAATGCGTTCTCAACTGAAAGGTGAAATTACTGAACTACGAGCAAATATCGCCAAGATGAACTTAATGATAGAGAAAGCTGGAACTTTTTGTAGTGAGCCAACAAATCAAATGAAACATGAATTGCAGGTAATATCGCATATTTAGTCGCTTCAAAGTGTAAAACTGTAATGGAATTCATAACTATACTTATAAACATGGTTTTGTTTTTTTTTCTCTAGATGAGTTATAACTTAATATTTTAGAACCTCTCAGAAGAAAATATAGTACTGAAGTTGAAGCTAACTGAAACTCACTTTGAACTGGCAATCATTAAATCGGAACTAGCCATTATTCGTACTGATTATGAGTCCAGGAAAAAAGAAATGTCAAGTAACTCGAAAGCATTATTTGAAAATGCTCAATAAACAAAATTTGGAACGACAACTCAAACTGCTCTAGTAGGTTTTTCTAGATTTATTCATTTTGCTTTCGAGTTTCTTTTTTTTTATTTCCAGGAAGGGGTCTAACTTTTTATGTAGCTCACACAAATACTGTCGTTTATAAGTAATTTAGTAGAATAGTTTTCAATTTCCAAGTATTATTTAGCAGTTAGTAGATAAAATGTACTTTATTGCTGGCATGATTCACAATTCGTTTACCGTTATTAAATTAACTGAGGTGAAAGGGATTTTTGTCCAGAGATGAGTCTTTGTCACCAATTTCTTACTAGATATGCAAGAAATTTCTTGAAAATTTTGTGAGCAAAATTATAGTGATGCGAACAGGAAGTTTCATGATACAAATGATAGCTTGCGCAAGGCGTTGGATCAGAAAGCCATAGTAAGCCATCTTTTTACAGCATATCTAATATATTTAAAACCGTCGGTACACGGTTCACCCTCCCATGCAACACTCTGGATTTTGGAAGCATCGATTTCTAAAATTTCGAGGAAGCTGTGCACTTTTTTCCTTCTTTTTAGCTCTTTCTTATCAAATGCTTAATTATTGTTTTCATCATTGTAACATACTAATGCTGTCTTGGAAACACTGGTCCCAAATTTCAGTCCTGGAAGTTACAACGCTTTTTTTTTTTCATCAAAACATTCAGAATAGTAGCAGATTTTTGAAAAAGGCATGTGTTTTCCGTAAATTTTCTAAGCCTGTTTTTGAAGTATAAAACGTCACTCTTTTCGAAACTATTTATAGTCAGTAACAATTATATATGAAAAGCACATAATGCTAGTTCTCAAACAATATACTGTTTTTGAAAATGTTTTAACTGATTTATCTTTTCCCCCTTTTTTTTTGATTTTGAGATAGGACTGCATTTTAAAAGATGAGGAATGAAGAAAATGCGAGAAAGGTTCTTGTTTCTGATTGACATCTTCTGAACAAAAAATAACCAAAATAATATGTTTACGTTTAAAACGGATTGTATTTTCGAAGGATTATGTGACTGTATGTTTTCGATATACTTTGATTTTATTTTTTCAGCTTACTTCATCGCCTATGCGGGTTTTGTATGATACTTCAAATGCGAAGCCGAGAGAAACTCATAGTGCATATAATACAGATGAAAATACTGTTTTCATTATTCTGATTAAATGACAGTTCTTTGGGAATCACTTTTAATAAATGTGGTAGTGGGTGGCCATGCATAAATATCTTCTAAAAGTTAACTGGAATTTGAATAGTTGTCGAATAAATAATGTATCACTCATGACTGTTGAATGAAGTCTCAACATCATACCAATAAGATCGACCTAAGGGATACTCTGTTCATCAAAACTATTTCTACGGAAGACGGTGAAGCGGTAGCAGCAGTAAATTTTTAATTTCATTTCTCCTATCTACTACTTTTAATTGATATTGTGTTTAGTTTTATTTTTTCTTCACTTCATTTCTCAACTTCAATTAAAATGCTAATTTAATTGAAAAAATTTAGGCAGTGGGTGTTCTGTTTGCAGAATGCAGTGCTCTGAATGGTATTAATATTGAAGGAGCTTTGATGAATCTGATTAGGTATAATATATAATTGCTGTTGTTTATTTATTACCTCTTCTGAAAAGGAACTTTTGCAGAGAACTGATAATAACGGAAGATGTGGAAATTAGTGGAACTGGTGTGATTATCATGTCGAAGTTTTCAAAAGAAATAAGTAATTGTTGCTGCTTGAAAAATTGAATATTTACCCTCCCGTATTTTAAGGATCCAGCAAATTCCGAAATGTAAACGAAACACTAAGCGGTTGTTTTTTATTCCTAGTTTCCTGTCAGATTATCTTCACATATTACTCGTTTGGATACAAATATTTATTCTGCGAGATACATTGTTCATATTTTTTACTTTATCAAAAATGCATTTTCGTTTAGAAACTGCGTAGCTTAGTACCAATGAATTAACTATAAAATCTGTGAATTCCATTTCACAGTGGTGAAATTCTTGCTACTTGTTTCTTACAGAGACATCTTTTCTTACTTGTGATTTACATTTTACACTAAAAGTAATAGATTTGTCGAAGTTATTCAAAATGCAGATAAATAAGTGTATATGATACATTCGACTATAGTGTATGCCAGGAAACAAAGCAAATACGTGATAAAGTGATGGATTATACTGTTTTTCTACAAATAAAAATCACCAAGGCTTTTTACTAAAACTGGAATTCGCTGTTGTCTGCGCTTTAACGTGGGTATAGTGGCGAAAGTAGTGATAGACATGTACTTAAAGGAATCGAAAAATAAAACTGTCCATTTTTAGGATGTTTTCATGATCTAAAACATCTAAAAAGTTTTCATGATCTCTCTTCTCAGACTTCAAATCCTCATGTTTTCTAGGTGGCATTGGAATTCTTGTTAGTGGATTTATAACTGAGTAAATTTTCTTGGCTGGTTCCTACGTTCATCTGAAAACCTAGATCTTTTTATGCACTTTATTTGTTTACATACGAAAAAAACTTGTTTTTTCGTAAACGAAGTTAAAAGAAAATCTTTTTCTAGAAATTTCGCTTTAATATCCGTACTTTTCGCAGATTCTTGATATGAATACTTATTTTCATCCTTGTAGACAAAAAGTGAGTATGTAAATAAATGTATTGAAGCATATGTGTTATATTTAATGACATGATATTTATATTGATATATTTACATTATATTTAATACAATATTTGTGTTTTTACTGTTTCAAGATCGTTCACATGACTTCATTCACATAAAATCTGTATGTCAATAATTGGGAAGCGCAAATTTTGGAAAAAAAAAATTTGACTACTTAAGCTAAATTGTTGCGAACGCTGTCCACTCTTTCCTTTTTCTCCGCTGTTTAATTACTAGCACAGATGACGGAAATTTAAAGTAAAGAATTAGTGACCTCGAATATTATAAGTGCTTGTAAAGTACTTAGCTTTACTTCTTTTTTGATGGTAATATCAAGAACGCAGACAAAGAGCATTTGTTTGTTTAATTACTAAACACAATTTGTTTCATTAGCGGGGTTAATTCTCCTGCGCCAGATATTTTGAAATGCACTGTGAATTTTAGAGTTTGCTTGGTATACGTCATATTATATAGTTAATTGTAACAGAAGGAAGTGTCGCATTAAGAAATTATATGCAAGGAAACTCCCATTTAAGTAACAGGGACCGATCAATCTATCGATCAAATTTAGCGGGGAAAATGCCCTGCTTTAGCTGATTATTCCATATTTCTATCCACTGCGAAGGGCACAAATCCATATAAACATTTCGGAAAAATTTACACCGCTCGTTTTTTTCACCAAGTAGTGTAATGCAACGGTGATAATCTACGTAGTAGTCAAAGCAGTGTCGGGTCGCCTTACATTGCGGATATCGTACATCATAAGGCGCAGTCCATAAAATACCATCTGGTCCTCGCTGTTTTTCATTGTACTCTTGAGAGAACCATTCCGGTGCATCTGGTTGCCGGGCTTTATATTCACTGCATTTTTTTTTCAGGTGTTCGAATCGTTCACCCAGGGTTTCCGGCACGGAAGAGAATTCGTCGCTCATATCTGTAATACTTCCCCTTTTACTTACTTTTGACAATATTAATTACAATATAAAATTAATTTTCAAATACTTCACTGAGGAAAATTAAATGCATTATTTCTACAACCTAATCGGCAGATTCTTGAATGAATTATTTTACCTAACATCCCTACAACTAACACACAACATCTTTATCTTTATATACAATATCACATTACTGGCTAATTTGACTTACTGGATATGTTTTGATTTCGGCTATAATTTGAAGCAAGGAAGAAGTCCAACTATGAAACAACTGTATATGGAAGCAATTAGAAAGAAATGAAGAGGTCGGAATTTAAAAGTTTCAAAAATATGCAAATTGCATTAGTATATATGTTGCAGCCATTTGGTTGTTTTAGTTCTTTTGCATAGCTGAAAAAATTTTTTTTTGCTTTAGTTCTGCTTCCATGGAGGAATGTTATAATCATATGCGTATATATATATATAGTAACACAAAAATATAAAAAGTACGAAGAAAAAAAGCAATAGTACATCAAATTCAAGTTTTCTTTTATTTATTTTGGAAACTTCCATTTTTTTTTCACAGAAAATGGTAAAAAGTATGAAGATGAACATAGTTTGTGGAAAGCATTTTGAAGACAGTTTGTTAATAGTCTACAGAATTTTACTTGTTATTCAACAGCTTTTGCTCCGGATCACCAAATTTCCTCAGAATATAAAAATGGGTCTCAAGGTACAATGTAAGGTATTCATTTTTGGGTTTTTATCTTCTTGGGATATAAAGACGCCTTTCCAACATTACCGTGTAATACTGCATATTAACACAAGCAAAATATACTTAGTATTGTAGTGCTGAAACAATCTCTCGATTGTTCTCAATTTCCAAAGAATTTGGTTGAACAGCAAAGCCAATAAATATGTTATTAATGCGGATGACCGCATTAATTTGCTCCATTTGAACAGTTCCGTCTTAATTGGAGGACCGGCAGTTCATTAAAGCAAATTATAAACATGAAACAGTTTCATTTATAAAATTTTAACCAGCTATATATTTAAGAGTTACGGTACTATCTCAGGAAACAGAAAACGGTATTGAAAGCATAGAAATATTTGAAGTTAACGATAATGAAATGAAAGGACAGAAACAGAATATCAGGTGCGAGATTCTGAATCCTTTTCATATCATTTGAAGTGAAGCCTCTGCAACGCTTCAATTGATTACAGTTAGATATCAGAATCGGATTTTAGTGTAAGATGCGCATTGTTAAATGAGTTTGTAATCATGAAGAGGAAGGGGATTAGGAATTTCAATTTATGGATCGAATCATGATATAAGAAAAACAGAATTTCGTGACCGTAAGAAACCTAGCGTGGTTTTGCAATGGTATTATCAATTCTGCGGTACCTTTTTTCCACCTACATACTGCTTCAATAGACCGAGGCACGTTAATGGAATTAGCGAATGATTATCACAAAAAAAAATTTTCAAATCTCTCTAAGGAACTGTAAAAATTTTCTATAAAAAATATCGCAAGGCCTCTTAAACAAGTGTAAACAGTATTCACAAAAGCTATTTACTTTATGCTGTTTTGTTAATCACTTGACTTGAATTTTATTTTAGAACATATTTCTATGAACATTAGAAAACGTCAAAAGAATTATAGGATATAATACAGACTTATATAGTAGCACCAATACAAAACAAGATTCTATGCGTTTCATATGCTTTAAAAAGCCTCCATATTTTTGTAAATATCGTAAAAATTTTATCCAATTTCTTCAATCACTCATGAAGGAATGAAAGTACAAAGATGAAAATTCAAAAAGAGTAAACGTTAAAAAAAATTTACATGTTAGATTTGCAGCAAGGGAAGATGCAAATGATTGAACTGGCAACTAATTATATAAATCAATCTCAATTAACAAGCAAAAAACGACCAATTAAACATGATTACTTTTTTCAAATTTAAATTAACTGTTGGATCCTGTAATGTAATACTCGAACATATCTTAGAAGTCGGCCATTTACAAAGGTCTGGTTCAAGATTAAATAAATCAAGGTCTAGATTTTCCAAGCTAATTATTAAGTAACAAGAAATAATAAAAACAACGAAGAAACATTCAAAGATGCAGAAACAGTGCACCAGAAACCGAAAGAAGATATGGACTGCTTAAATCTTTAAAATTAATCGCTAAACTTACAATGCATATAATCACGAAAACGTAGAAAAGTTCAAATGACGTAAAACAATGAATATAGCTTTAACAGTTAGGGGAAATAAATCAACTTAGAAAAAAGATCACAGTCATTAGGAATGGTAACAATTCATTCTTTTGCTTTGCAAATTGTTATGTGCATTACATTTTGAAATTCAAACAACTATAGTAGATTACATTTTTTAGGGAGCTTAGGCTTCACATAATTTTTATTTTTGGTCACTTTACTGAGCTATTAAGTTACTATAAATTCATTGTTTAAAGGAATGTTACAGGTTTTACATTTTGTGTCAAATGATAGACAGTAAAATTTACTTGAAAAGCTGGTGATTTTTTCCGAAAAGCGAAATAACTTCCAAAAATTACAAGATGTATTTCAAATTTTTGATGCGAAAGAGATGCACAGAATTTGCAAACTTACTATAAAATTTTTAATAAAGTATGGAATGAAATTTATAAAATGATCATGAAATGAAACGGGTGTTAAATGACAACTAAAAACATTTACACAACAAAAGTAAATTTTCAGTTAGCTAAATCCTTCAATTTCTTGAATTTTTTGATAAGTGCATTTACTAACGAAGCACGCTCAAATATGATATGTTGTTATATATGAGTCTTATTAATAATCCCTTTCCATTCTAGATCGCTTTGCAAAGGAACTGCACATTCCACATCTGATATTGATAATTTAGATATTGTTTCCGGTACCACACATTCCTGGATGCTGATTTTGCTTGTTAAAGATATTTGATTAAACTTAATTCCCAGCGTACTACACAAGAATTGATCCTTGGATTGCCTTAAGAAAGTGAATGCAGACGTGACGTTAAAGTTTAATGAATTCTTAATTTCTTGAATGTTTTGATAAGAGGGTTTACTAATGAAGCACGCTTAAATATAATATGTTGTTATGTATGCGTCGAGATCTGGTTTATTAGCCGCTGTTGCATTCGTACTGCACTGTTATGCAAGAGAGCTGCGCATTTCACATCCGGTGTTGAAACTTTAGACTTTATTTCCAGTACCTCATATCCCTGGATATTCTATCTGCGCTGAAATTTCTACTTTTTCCGTTTTTGCCGACTAGTAGAATCTCCAAACAGTCGTCGAACAAACTAAAGGGATGCCGGCAAAAGTTAACTAACCCGAAATTCCCTAACCTAGTAAATGGTTACGACCACTTATGAGACGTGGGTAAAAGGCTAATTCCGATGTAAACAACTAGAACACGTGCAACTAGGAACTGATAGCACAATCACACTCCGAAAAGTGAAAACTTCGTTAAAATAAATTGTAATGTGAATAGCAACAATCATACTTTAATCATTACTACTGCTGGTAAGAACAAAAAAAGAATTAGTGAAACCTACCTTTGAATTCTGATAGTGACATGGTTCAGATATGGTAACAGCGGCAGTACTTGAACTTGATGCAAAACTATTGTAGGGATGACTAATGTGTTGTTCATTTTGTTCATCGGTGCCACAATCAAAAGAATGTGAAGCACAAGTTTTGTAAATGCTTCTGTTAACAATCGGTGAACATGACAAATAATAGCAGTTTAGATTACTTTGTGGCATCGTTATGTAATCCTGAAATGTCACATGTCGTGCATATTCACATATCAAACATTACAATTATATGGTTCACTTTCTAAAAAAAGTAACTTACACTTTAGAAAGTGGAAAACTTTTTCTTATAATTAACTAACTTCAGAACAAAGAAGTTGATGACTTTCATTAGATGTAGAATTATACATGTCGGTAAAAAACTGATTGCCAATAAGCGTTTCAATTTTCACGCTCACATCAGAACGATCATCTAAAAAGGTGAATATAAAGCAACAAATGACAGCACATTAACGGTAATTGGTGATATAACAGAAAAGGAAAGATGTTTTAAGCGCATATAAAAGATATCATACCACTGAATTGAGCAGTTTTGTATGAATTTCGACGATACTGCCAACAACTACAGCAACCCATGATGAATAAAGCTGAGAATAGCAGGAAAGCGACTGGAAAAAAATACTGCGGTGGTACAAGTCCTGTAATTATCAACTTAATACATATATCAAGTTCTTTATAACGATATTTTTTATCCATTTAATATATCAAAAAGATTACATTTGTTACAGTTCTTTGTGCTAGTTTTCTACAAGTATTTTCAATCTGCTACAAGCCCGAAATTTTATCGCTCAAATTACTGAATTTGGTACAAGTTATTTCATATAAAAAGTGGAAAGATTACCAATAAATGCATCCACTATGTTCTTTGATTTCAGTTGAACTGTCTGGTAATCTTTGCCCAGCTCATTATATGCAGAGCAATTGTACGTACCAAAATCTGAATCCTTAATATTTTGAATAGCCAACCGACTTTCCACGCCAAACTGTCGCGCAACTTGATGAATCTGTATTAGTACCTTGGTCACTAAAAACTTGACGCCCAGAAATCATTTCTAGGAATTTCGAAATTTTCTGACATATTGGAAAGCACTATAAAGAATTTTTCAATACGTGAAAATATTTACCTGAAAGCGACTACTTAAACGCCCATATTCAAACGTTACCCCATTTAAGGACCACAAAACATCTTGTGGTTGCGGGCGACCTCTTACCTGAAAGTATTTTGCCTTTTTACCTTTATTATTAACTCGAACAAGAAGCAGTTACTTCGTTCTTTAAAATCGAAAAAGAACAAGAAATGACAAATTATATAAAAGAAGAAATTGGAGGACAAAAAAAAAAAAAAAATAATATTCACCAAAAATGTTATTTGCACGACAAACACGCATATTTGAATGAAAACTAGGAATTTAATTAATTTTGTGTCAAAATCATTCTAGCAAATCTTTAATGTGTTGAAAATCCAAATATTTCTGCTTATGGGATTAATCATATTTTTCGCTCGCTTTAGTATCTTAAAAGCAGAATTATTTAATTTATTCAATACTTGGTTTTAAATTAACTCATGTCAACTGCCAATGATTAAAAATACCATGCGATCAAACTCCACTAATCTTGACTAAAATTACAAAATGCTGCAGAAACTTTAGTCTTTGCAGTAAAAAATTACTGAGTAAATAAATTGATAAAACCAGAAATGGAAAAAAAGTTTATTTACAAAAGTGAATTAGCAATTACTATGGATTGAATTATTCAGAAGGATAGAACATGAGCAAAATGATGAAGTGGTCGAAAACAAAAATATGCATTAACAAACCTCACAGATAATCTCAAGACTTTCTCCAACAGCGGCAACAATTTCATCGCTTAAACTGACGGAAGGTGGTCCCCTGATGTGTAAATAATTTACTAAGCGTGCAGGCGGAAAACCCTGTACTGTTGCTACGCATTCATATTCACCACGTTGCCAGCTTTGAACTGATTCAATTGTTAAACTGGAATTGCATATAAAATCTATTAGAAGTTTAAAAATTTTTCACTGCTTTGATCCTGAACCCATATTTTCAGAAGCTTTGAGCAGGGGACAAAATAATAAGCTTTCCTTGTTTTATCACCTCCTTGGATAAAATTACAAAGAATAGTGTTGATGATAGATTATGTCAAATCCCGGTTTATGTGCAACTCTCTAGAAAATTTTTAGAATGAAAATTTAGGAAAACAGAACGGAAATTTCTGAATTTACTTGTTTCCGCGTGCTAAAATTTGACTATCAGCCACTTTGGTCCAGTAGATTGTTGGTGCTGGATTTCCAATAGCTTCACAAATAAATGATGCCGTTTCACCAGGATTTACCGCTTGATGTTGCTGGCGTGACATTATGTAAGCCCCATCTACAACTGAAGCATTTAAACTTAACTTACCGACAATTCAAATCCATATTTCATATTAAATTAGATCAGCTGTAATAATTCTAATGCTATAAAAATCCTAAACTGTCTAGTAAATCAAGTGATAAAAATTACATGTAATATTGAGGATAATAGAATCAGAAGCATCGCCTATTACATTTCTTGCAACACATGTGTACTCAGATTGATGATGATCAATTCTTAACTCGGATATTGATAACGTCTGCAATGCATCCATTTATAATCATCATCCTTCGAACAAGAAAATTTTTTAAATTTCTTCTTAGCTTACAATCTCAAGTAGTATTTTCCTCTTATGCCTAACATTATACTATCCCAACAGGTTAATATACAATTTATCACCTGAACTACCTAGCTAGAACTACTATTACATCAATATTGTTTTTCAAAAACAAATCTCACATATCTAAAACTGCTGGAGTAAACGCAGCTTAACAATGTTTACTGTAGAAAGAAGTTAAGGAGCAAAGACGATTAAAGTTGAAATTGGGTGCTCATAAAACGGGACTTTGTAAATCAGGTGTTTAAATTTAAGGAGTAGGAAAACTAAAATTTAAGTAGAATTTATTAACAAAAGTGCAACAAAACGGATGAACAAACACTAGCTGTTGCAAGGATGATTTCTTTTCCATTTCGATACCATGCTATTTTGATGTTTTTGAATGGTTTAGCCTTGACGTTGCAAAAGAGTTGTGCCGAACCATGCTCATAAAGTTTAGAGTTGTTGTCCAGCTCCACTTCCACTCTTGGTGGATAATTTAAATCAAGGCGAACGGCATGTAACTGTGGTGTTATATAGGTTTCATGATTCACCAAGCATACTAAATACTTATCATCGTCCTCCATTCGAGGTGCAAAACTATAAATTACACTTTAAGAACTTTCAAATTCTTTCTTTATTCATAATAACAAAAGCAAATTGTGGAAATGTCAGTCACTGCCTTTTAATAAAAATATTGACTGCTTTCAAATTCCCGATAAATTTAAGTAATTATTAATTATTTGGAGTGCAGTTTGTTTCTTTACCTTATATTACTAATAACATTGTATGTTCGATCGTCATTAGAGCTAACATATTCAACAACGCGTGCATTTTGTATCTCTTGACCGCTGTTAGTAAACTCTGGAAAACATCAGATAAAAAATACAAAAATTTTTGGGGATTTTTGAAATTTCATTAAGGAGAAGAATGAGTAGTGAATTCTGCATTAATTTAGAAGAGTTAAGAAAACAAATTCAATTCAATTTCGATTTAAATTACTGCTCATGAATATGACAGATGCTGTAAATTTCTAAACATTAAACTGAACCGAACGAAACATACTGGAGACAGGATTGAATTTCTCCCTGCTATCGCCCAACCACAACGAAACACTTGAGGCATTTGGATCATCTGATATCAGCCATCCTATTTTTGCCTGCGGTTTACCATGTTTGCTTATGCATGATCGTTGAATGTATTCACCAACTACTGTTCTCAGATTAGATACAGGTGACAATAATTTTGGATCTTCTGGTTTAACTGCAACTGATTACAATGAAGCATTCGTGTAAATAATTTTGTAGTCGGAAATGAATTTGAAAACACTTCTAAAAGTACTCACCTAAAACAGTAAGTTTGGCGAGATTGGATACCCTCGTTGGGTTTTCATTGGCTGCTTCAATCTGACACGCATATTCATCGTCATCATCCATTTGTACATTAATTATGCGCAAATTATACTCTCCTTTACTAACCCTACCTTCCATACTATATCTTTTAAATAAAGATAAATCTCGATCATTTCCTAAGCCAAAACCATTTTTCATCCATTGCACTGCTCCCTGCTGCAAAAAAATTCAACTGAAACATCAGCAGAGCTTTATCAAGATAGAATATCTTGCCTTTTTGAAAACTTTTGCGATCCAAAATTTTCAGAGAGATTTGTTAACTACGTTGATCCTGATTTACTGCTGTGTGCTTAATGAATACACCTGTGCTTCGACACGACATTTTAGAACGGCGGTACTACCAATTAAAGCCCGAGTGTCTGCAGGGCCTTCAATAATCCTTTGCTGTGAATGTATATAAGTTGAAACAGCTATTATTATGCAGGTTGTTGACCACTTCATTCCTGAAAATCAACAGTCGTCCTCAATGACGCTAATTACACGCGTTGAACTGCACTTCAAAAGCTGATATAGCAAATTTTAAATAGAAGATTTCAAAGTCCACCATCAAAACTTATAAACTCATCCGCGCTACAATTGGATTTATATTCATCAGATATTACTATGATGCTATCTCATACATGACACTAGGTTGAAATTTAATAAAATTATTTAATAGAAAGCTAAAACCTTAGAAGAAATAAAAATCAAGGTTTAGGGAACACTGTGAGAATAATGTCTTTTAGTTTTATCATCAAAAATAGAGAAACGGGTACCAAGCTCAATTTTCCCATCTTTAAAAGTTCTCGAGCATGTTATTAAATATACACAACATGTTAGCTTTAATGCTACGTCGCTCTCAGCATGAATATTCTGCAAGAAATATTATTAACAAAAGTGTTGGAGAGTGAAAACTAATTTTTTAAAATGTAGGATAAACTTAAAAGAATTGAATCAAAGGAACATTATGTACTCTAATTTGCGAGCAAAACTGCTCTCTTCTCATAATGCCAACTTAAGAACTAAGAATTGAAAAGTGCGCAATTTTGACCGAAAATCTGATGTTGTCACTAAAATAAATGTTTACAAATATTGATTAAAGTTGATACGCTTCAGTTTTGGCAAAGCTCTGTGATGGCAGCGAAAATATTACATGGTTACTAAAACATATTTTATTTTTCCGTCAATAAAAATGATGAACTGAAATAAGAAACAAACAGTATTTTGAATGAAGAGTAAGTAAATTGATAAAAGTTTCCATAGTTGATAAAAATATTGTATTACAAATGGCTTAGAAGAGCTCAGGTTTCAAAATAATTAGTAGTATTAATCAATTTATTTTAATTGCACTTTTTATAATAAGACAAAATCAAACTGTAATCAAATTTAAAGTTGGTCCATTTTTCATAGCTCAAAATTTTATTGAAGAAAACAGTCGACATACAAATTCAAATCCTAGCAGTGATTCGGAATATGATGTGTAAAAAAGATGTCATCATAAAAAGTCAGGAAATTTATTTGGCACAAAGTATGATGGAAAATGATGGAAGAAGACAGTTACACATAATCATAAAACACAAGATGATGATTAATTAATCGAAAAAACAGAAAACAAAATGGACAGTTTTTGAACTTGAATTTCGATTCATTACTTAAAAGGAAAAAAATGTCTGCTACGTAATTCGCAAGAAATAACATTGCATGTAACTCGTTTATTTGGCCTTCTATTGTATGCATTAACTTCTCATAAAAATTGCTTCCCAAAAATTTCAGTCAAAACAGTTGAGGCAAATCGATCAGCTCTTAATTATTACCAACACGTAACACTTCAAAAGTCAAATGTAATTACTAAATTGATGTTCACTTCAATCAAATGTTATAGATAATTTGTACTATGCTTTAATCAAGAATTTAACGAATAAAATCACATTTTAAATCGCTTTTGGGATTATTAGAATGAGGATATTCCCCCTTATTCCGTAAAAATTATTTTCAGTAGCGGATGAGGTAAGAGAGGGAATGTGCTTTAAAATCGCAAACTAAAACAAATGAAGGTTGAAATAACATATTTACTGTAATTGCATCAGTTTGTCCTTGGAAGTTTTAAAAATTGTGCCGTTAATTTCAGTTGTTCAGGCAAAATTTACCAACATTAAATGATGGTGTCTAATTAAAAAACAAAAAAAAAAATCTAGTGATTTCGATTACCTTGATTAAACCAGAACTGAGAAAATCAAAAACTTTTTTTTTAGGAGCTAATTTAGGATAAGCAGAAGATAAATTTAAAGGGGCAATTTAAACTTTAGGAAAAAGAATGAATGCAAAAATGTACTACTGGTCAAAAGAGCGGAAATCTTTTTGTTAGGTAGAATAAATGGAAGAAAAGCTTGTGAGATTTCGTTGGGTGCAGACTGCCAATTTTTGGAAGACTACATAGATAGATATCGCGATATAGCAGTAACAGAACAGTTGTTTCCGTGTTTTTCTATAATAAAATTTGAGAAATTGGTGTTATTATAGAATTTATTATGGGGAATTTATTACTGAGATACTGATATTACTTTAACTCAAGAGATGTAATTAGGTCATAATGAGTTAATAACGGAGTATTTGCAAATGATGCAACATTGAAAAGCTTTGGGTAACTACAAAGCGTTGATGAGGAAGATTACGGAAGACCTATAGTTTTTCTAAGCTGTAATATAGCAAGTGTTCTCGGCAAGCTGATTTGATCTGTAGCCGAAAACACTGCTGCAAAAAATATTGCGAAAGGATTGCGATTCCGACCATGATCCTGAAATACGACTGTGGTTCCCGAAACGATTGCAAAAATTCACCCGGTTACTACCACTGAAATTATTTGTTTCATACTGTTGAGAAATAAAAACAGCATAGTACTACTGTGCTCTACTTCACCATGTTATTGCACTTGATCAGGCACTAATTTGCTGTCTTACAGATTTTGCAGGATGTCATATTCTTACAGAAGTCATCGAAATTTCACTTGTCGACAAATAGGAAATTCCAGTTAGCAAGTTTGCTTTTCTACCTCTTATTTATCCACTGGAGCTTGACAAAGGTTCTAAATCAGATAGATGTAGCACAATAGTTGCAACGAATAATAACATCCAATATTGTTGGGATTTGTAGCGTATCAAAATCAGATTGAATATCAGTTATAATTTCTAAGGTTATTGCTTCTAACATTCATTTTAGACTTTTGAGTTATAATAGCAGTGATTTTTCAGCAAAATTTAAGCGTGAAGTAAAAGTAACGCACTTTAAAAAATTAGGAAAATGATGACATCAAAGCGATTGACGAAGTTATTATCCTATAATGTTTTAGGAAGGCCTAACTGTTCGTTGATATAAAGCAGTATTGCTTCATTTATTCAGCAACAAATATCCAGGTTTCTATAGAATTTGCATTGTCTGCACGTCCCGACAACTGACATGGAATAAGTAAGAAACAATCAATACTTTCTGCTGGAACAAGGAAATATACTATTTTCATATTTCCCTAACTACTATTTCCTTTCCTCAGCTGGTTATACGATGTTTATTGCATTGGAACATCAAATTTCAACAGTTGAGTTGAAATCTACAAAATAATAGATTAAAAACTAAAATTAAAGATTAATAAGGTCAAAAAGGAAGTGTGATTTTAAATTGCGAAAATATTACAACGAAAACTATGCAAATTTGAACACTCTGCTCTGTGTAGTTGCACAAACAATTCGTAACAGATGCTATCCAGTAAGAATTTCTGAAACAAATAACAAACATTTGCAAAAGTACTTATTTAGCTCTAATTGTTTATCAGTGCTTTATGCCAGGAAACCTTAACTCATACTTTCACACCAATCTTTTTTATCTCGAATATGTTTAGATTAGCTCCACTTCAATAAGTATTATATCAAAAAAAAGTGCTGCAGTTCATATTCAAAGATTTTTAAACAGCAATGTTAAGCGAAAAGTTCACGTTTTGTTTATGTTCTGCTGGAAACAGGAACTGATTATAGCACCTGATAACCTTTTTTTTTTTTTTTTTTTTTCACCCTTTTCAGCAGGACGGGATTTTCATGTTTCGTTGGTACAATAAAATAATATTTTCATCTTTGACAAAGCAAACTAAAAATAAGTCACCGAAATAGAAAGACGAAAATGATGACCCAAAATATAAGCAACAGATTACGTAGCTAGTCAGAAATTTATAAAGAAGAATTCTCTTGTTCTGGATTCTTATCAGTTATTTAACAAACTTCATATTTATAAATAGGCGGGTAATGCTTCCATTGAATGTGATATAAGACCTAAATTGAAGATATCCATTTGAGGAAAGATAAATCCTGAAATGTTAAAAACAAAACAGGCCCGCAAAATCTCTGTGTGTGTGTTTTTCTATGTACCCATATACTTTCAATTTGCTGAATTTTAAAACAGTAATTGTTTCCAGAGTATTTTAAATCTGAAAGACAGGAGGCGTATTGCTATTATTTCATTTCACTAATTTTTTAGGAGGGTGTAGGATGCTGCATCCTTGCTTTTAATGGGAAGTCAAAGTCAAACCAAAAATGTTCAAAATTTGGTTCAAAGAGTAAAGAAAAAACTTGCCCATCTAATGTCGTCAAAAATACTTTTATCAGTGATGTGGTATAGATTTCCTGTGGCTTGTACGTAGCTTATTGCATAACATTTTACCAAATTGCTCATACCGTTTCATACTTATGTTACCCAACGTCGAATTTAAGTGTATATTTTTAATGATAAGTTAATAACAAAAAGTTGGACACCTTACGAATAGTTCAATTAGGAGAACTAAACCATTCCAAGGAATTAGAAATTGGTTGAAGAAAGAAGTAGAAAATGATTCAATACAAATATGGTTAGTTAGATGTCATTAATGAGGTCGAGATACAAGCACTTCACGATCTAATTCATTTTCTTCGTTCTCTTCGCATTTTTAACGTAATTTTACCATCGACAAAACTTTATACCTTAAATCGCTATTTCCTCTGTCTCCATACAATCCTAATTCACAGAATGTAAAAGATCGATCAACTGTCGGTGCAAACTGAAAAATGATTTTATCCAGTAAGCGACCCACCTGCTATTCAGAGAAAAGGTTCTCATTCATTGGCAAACATTCCAGCAAGTATTTCCTAAGCTGAAATCTAGTAGCCACAAATTTGTGAGGTAAATACGAGAATAAATCCAGCTCAATTCACTTTTAGCCACATAATTTTTCTGCTTCGAATCAAGAAAAATTATCGTAGGTGATAATTTAAAACTTTATAACAGCTTTAAAAGAGTAAAAACTGGGAGAAACTTTTTGTTACACTATGAGCTTCTTCATGCAAGTTTTAGAAAAAAAAAAGAAGAAAGCATTGAGTAAATAATTCAAAGCCAAATCTCTTTAAATGAAATACTTCAACTATCAGTTATAAGAGATATGATCAGTA